CACAGAAAAAAACGGCGCAGTAACACGGGGAATATTCCCCCCGTGTTATTCATGTGTTATTATGTGTTATTCATGTGTTATTGTGTCCTGTGAATATTCCTGGTGTTATAATAACACAATAACACATGAATAACACAAAATAACACAAGAATAACACGAGAGAGAATATTTTCCCGTGTTACTTCGTCTTTTTTTCTCTGTCATGAATATTTCTCGTATTATTCAAGTGTTATTGTGTGTTATTCATGTGTTATTGTGTCATGAGAATATTCTTGGTGTTATAATAACACAATAACACACGAATAACACGCAATAACATATGAATAACGCACAATAACACATGAATAACATAGAGGGAATATTCTCCGTGTTACTGCACCGTTTTTTTTGTTCTGTCGCACGAGATGTGGTGACGTGATTTGATTGACTTAACACTTTATTTTTAAGTGATTAGTTTTTTTCCCCGGAGATTCTTCATAAGTCGCACCTCCCTCTTGTGCCGCCGAGCTTCTCGCCGGCGCTCCTCGCAGGAAACCGCGCCCGGCCAACTCCCACGCCACCTTCACTTCTTGTAGTGAGCCCTCCACATCTTCTCCCCCTTTGTTCCGAGAGCCTCCAGATAAAAAGGGATTCCTGTGGCCGAAATCTTCTCGCTTGCGGATCCCTCGCCTCTCTTCCACTCTCCCACGCAGGTTTGGCTTCCCTCATGAGATGCCCTAGCCTGGAGGGATTCGTGAACGATCACTTGGTCCACTCCTCGCCGGATTTCCCTTGCTGCCAGCGACGACCTCTTCTTGCCGGCTACTCTAATGCAAAAAGCATGCCCCTTTCTTCGTTCGGCCCGAGGACCTAGCCGACGACATCGCGACTTATAACCCGAGTAACCCTCTTTGCGAAGGTACTTGTCGCACATACTCTTACATATTCAAATCGTTTATATAAAAATCTACTTGCATACCTCACTCGCTCTTTCATTCGTCCATGCATGTCTTGCCAGATACTTAGGTCCGTGGTCCGGACACACACACACACACACACACACACACACACAGCAATCAGACCTGAAAGTCCAGGCTTGACTCACTCCAAAAATAATGAAGTAGCTCGACTTAGAGGAGAGGGACAAACTACTCTAGCGAAGTGGGATGTTAGGCCACTTGAATGAAAGGAGAGGAGAACTTTTGTTATACTCGACCGAAAGGAGAGGAACTTAACTCAGATTCGAGGGACTCCGCCGGATGGGGCCGAAACATCTTCTGTTTCTCCCCACCATCATCAGTTTGTTCCGCGTAGTTCCGTAATGCGATTGAATATTCCAGATGATCGACCAAATTGGGTGATTAAGAAAGGGGTTCTCACACACACACACACACACACAAGGGTTCGAATCCCCATGTTTAGGATATGTTACTCGAATATTTAGCATACGTAAGGATGACCGAGGCTCGTCTAATAGCCTTCGACCATATATATATATATATATATAATTTGCAATTTTTTTAAACAGAAAAAAAAAGGACATTATTTATGTTTATAAACTTATTTATTTGTGCATGTTCAATGGACTCAAATGCAACAGTCCAGAATCTATGACTCCATTGGTGGGGAGATAGCCTGCTTACCACCACCATGATTAGAGTAGGAGTTTCAGTCATATTCTTTCTTGCTCTAGGGTTATATAGGTTTGGATTAGTTTCCATATAGCTCAAAATTGGCATATATTCTTATATCATTTTAAAAGGTACAAACAGTTACATGGCCAAATAATTTTTATGGATTTAACATGATTTTACATCATTATATGAGCCAATTTTCAGCATTTTGAATGCATAGAATTTAATTAGTTTAATTAAGAGTGATATAAGCAAACTAAATATATAAGATATTCGAGTTTTGTAAGTTCTTAAATCTTGAAATGAGTATCTAAATAGTTTCTATCTACTTACTTGGATTTAATGTTTTTCATGTTAAGTAGTTTTTAGTATTTAACCTGCAAATGATTTATTAAATGCAGGCTTGTAAGATTTACGGATTCCTATTCGAGTTAAATTCTACTTGAAGCCAAAGAACCCCTTAATTGAATCTTTGCTCTCTAATTTAATAACACAAAAATATAAACTTGGCCTTTTTTTGCTGCTTGGAAAACAGTTTTTGAAACTGGTTTGTATCTGATATTGTAGATGGGCGAGTCTCTAGCTTCTCCAACCAGCTCCAATTTTGCCTTTTTGTCATTTTGTTATGTCATATGACACTTATAAAGGGAGTCATGCCATTTTGTTCCAGAAATTTTTAGTTTTTTGTCTAATAGTAGTGTTGACTTCAAATCACATCATGTTGTTATATTGCATCAAGAAAACATCATCATTTTTAACATGCAAATTTGAAGATTTATTTACTTATTTCATGACGAAAAAACCATTTTTCAGCTGTTTTTAGGTTTGTAATTTTGTTGTATTAAGGTATATAATTCATATTTATGTCAATAAACTTTATCATTATTATCAACTTGTCATATCCCAACTATTGGGAATCAACCTTTTAAATACTTATTTATTTGTTCATCTCAAGTGCTCCCTGTCGTATTTAACCTTTTAGCTGCAAATATTTTTGCACCAATTTTATGTTTGCTATTTTGGGTTTATTATGTCTCTAAACTCACTTTATCAGTGCATTTTTAACTCTCATAGCACTTGTCTAAATCATAATTTTATTCTTTGCTTCACCATTCTCCCGTTGTAGATGGGTTTAAATGTGCTACTTGATCTTCACAACTTGATCATATCCTATTAAATTTAGTGTGACGGTGCTTTGGACAGTTGGTCTTCAACTACAAATTGTGATAGCAAAATTCAGGGTATATTGTTGTTATATATTGGGCAAAGAATACATGGCCAACTACAAATTGTGATAGCAAAATTCAGGGTATATAGTTGTTATATATTGGGCAAAGAATACTCATATTGGATTTGTCTGAAATCTATTATAATTCAAATTATCCGCTTAAAAAATGTATAGATGTTGATTTAAAAAAAATAGCTATCAAGCTACACAAGGTTTTTGTGCTTAAAATTTTTTTTATTTATTTTATAATTTGTTTGTAGGAAATTTGTTGGGATACGGTTACTGATGATGATGATGGTTATGTTAGCTTGCAGTCTTCTTTTTCTTCCTGAAGCTATCTAATACTTGTATTTTTTTTGAGTTTTTTTTTTTTTTTTTTTGGATTTGAAGATGGCAATAATGCTGAAGAAGCTTAAAAAAAAATATGCAAGGGTTAAAGATGAGATGTTGCGATGGGATGAACTTCAATCTCAATTGCTCTCACAATTTGGGAATGCCTCCTCCATTATTACTAGATTGCCGGTAGGTTTCCACTTTTAGCATAGTTTTGTATTTTTACCTTTTTTGTATCACCAATTATATATTTCTTTCATTTATGGGTTTCAATCTCTTTTATCTTCTGTTTATTTATGCCTTCTAGAGAGAAATTTTTTTTACTATGAAAATTTTTACTGCTGGCGGCAGGCCTTTATATATAGAGGGCCTTATTTGCTTTATTTTCTTCATAATTTTTTTACGGCTAGTGGTTGGCCTTTCATATATAGAGGGCCTGGCCTCTATAGTTTCTTAATACCAAGGAAAGAACATGTGATATGTGGGAAATTTGCTTAGATTCACTATGCAAAATTCAAGCCAATGCAAAACTATATGCCTTTATTTTCACTGCATATTTAATTTGTTTGCCTATTACTTGCTAGGATTCTACCACTGAATATAACGGGTAAAATGGCATATTTCCTCCAAATAAAAATAAAGAATTTTCTTTGACAGTGTTGAGCACTTCATTGTGAAACTTAATCAGTTCAATGAAGTGCATTTAGCTTTCAAGTTTAAAAATTGCTTAATTATTATTTGAAGTATTATTCATTGCCATGATTATTTTATCATATTGATAGTAGCTTCAAACATAAAATTATAAAAAAATTTTGTTGTACCGAGCATTATGTTTCACTTGAATCGAACTGATAGCAAATGCATATTTATAATGACACTTTTGTTTCCATTTGAACACCATCCTGACCATACAATTGTTTTAAAGTTTGAGACATTCTTTTCAGGTTTATTTTATTCCATTACCCTTTTTTTTTTAGTGTCTTTTTATTGGAATTGTTTTTAATTACAATTTGTTGTGGTTTTACCATATAAATTTATGGCTTCACATAATATATTTTTTTTCTTAAAGTAGTAGTAGCTCTAGTGACAGAGTTGTAACTACGGGTGATCAAATCATTAAAAGGTGTGATCCCTTTTGACATCTTAGGTCTATTGTTCAAAGTGATGGTGATATAGATGTTTTTAGCAGAATTTAAGTTGGTTGGTTGAAGTGGAAGAATGCATCAAGCCTATTGTGTGATAGAAAAGTACCGCTTAGACTGAAAGAAAATTTATTAGATGACGGTGAGACTTGCAATGCTCTATGGCGCAACATGTTGGCCTTTAAAAGAAAAGCATAGAACAAAGTTAAGTGCTGCTGAGATGAGAATGCTTAGGTGGATGAGTGGCTTGGCTCTTATAGACAAAATACGAAATGAATATAACCTTGATAGAGTTGGCATAGCTCTAGCAGCGTATAAAATAGATAGTCTTTTTAGATGGTTTGGTTACATTAAACGTCGACCATCTGATGATCCAGTTAGGAGATTAGGAATTTTAGATTCGACTTATGTTAAAAAAGGTAGAGGTAGACCTAGAAAGACTTGGGCATATTTTATAAAAATGATATTCTATTATTAGAATTAAATGAAAATATGAAATTCAATAGGATGCAATGGAGAAAAAGGATTCATGTAGCCGATTCCATTTAGTGGGATAAAGATAAAGACTTGTTGTTGTTGTTGTATAGTATTTTTTTCTTAAAGTGGTGGAGGAACTCATAGATGTTATAATGCATTTTTTTAATTGATAGGTGCTTAAAGAGGATAAGAACTATGATGCCCTACTAGTTTTGCCTGGTATTAAAGAGGCGCTTCTTGGTAAACAGACAGAAGCATTGGAAATGATATACATATCCATGACAGATGCATTGTGAGTTTTTTTTTCATTATATTATTAACTTTTTGTTTTGTATTATTACTCATAGAAATAAAGAAAAATAACGTGATAATTTTTCTGTAGGCTTTGAAGTGCATAGCTGAATTTTCTTAAATATTTGCACCTACTCAGCATTCATGTGTTTTTTCCTGCCATCTTTACTATATTAAAACTTTGGTAGTAAAACCATTCTGGCAGCCACTCACCAAATTCTTTCAGTAAATTTATGGAATCCTATATATCATGTGCTCAACTTTTCTATCTTTTCAAAATGTTCAACATCTTTCATATGACTAATTTGGATCAATGCAAACCCACCAACATAAAATTCCATTGGCCTGTGCTTTGTATCATGATAATTTTAATGAATATCTTATAAAACATTCAATATTTCTCGAATTAGTTATATCTTATTAGTACTATAATCTACCAAATTAACAATGAGTAGTTGTCTTTGTCCTATTTCTATCCAACGTAATGGTGTCTTGCATTTTTTTATATAAAGAGTTTTATATGTTTCCACATCAATACTCACTCAAAAACTTCTATTATTAAAAAATTTTATCATTGGTGCATGGGAATCTTGCTTCACCAAAATCATAGACCCTTAATTTGATTGCATATTTCAATGTTCGAATAATTCTTTTTGTTCGCCATCAATCTTAGGATCAAATACCATGTTAAAAGCCAAGTTAGTACCCAAAGCTTTCTATGTCTATTTGTATAGTTCAGACGTAAATTTGCCTTCTTTACATCAAATTTTGGACTTTGACACTATGCACAAGCATTCAATTTCATTTACATTTAACTTTGCTAACTTTTCAATAGGGTTAGCTTGTTTAAGATGGATAAATGTGTGAATTTAGTCAATGACTACGTAAATAAAGTCATGATCCTAGCTTGATTTTGGTAACCTAAATACAAATTTATAACGATTTCGTCCTACTTCCATTCAAGTATTACAAAGGTTTCAATAGTTCACTTGGTATTTGATGTTCCAATTTAAGCATTTGGATACTAGGACATTTAGAATCGGATTCTACTGCTCTTCTTTATGTTTCTGGCCACCCAAACAATCTTGTGTTTATTATAGAATTTCTTGTTAATTCTTCGATAAATAATAAATATCAAGAATAATGTGCTTATTATTGAATTTCTTTTCTTAAATTATCACCTAAAACACAAACTTTATCATTGTATTCTAACAACACATCAATCTCATAATCCTAGATATAACTTGATTTATTACTTTGAAATTTTTGGATATTAACATCCTGTGATTATGCATAGCATATTTTATCTTTCAAAATAGATTGAATTGTCATCCAATTTTTTAGGATGAAAATTCAGTTGTCGATTTGACTATTGATAATTCTAATTAATTCATCTTTTCAATTAATTGCTTATGTTGAGTAAATAATCATTTTGTGGTCAATCTATGTAAGATATCAATAATAATGCTTGCATTTATGGATGATACCGAGCATCCAAATTGTAATATTGAACAAAGTCCAGCTATCGTTTTCTCAAGTTTATCTTTTTTTAAGTGAATATATAATTCAATTTTTTGTCATTAGTGAAGACTTCTCATCTAACTTTTTATAGATAATGTCTTCATATTTTTGTTGCAAATAAAATTGCTACTAACTCCGTATCATGAGTAGGATAATTTATTTCATGATTCATTTGATGAAGCATGATTTATTGTACTACACTCATTAAGGCATAATTTAATGTTCTTAATGATACATTATTATTTTTTCAAAACCCTTCTATACATGCGAGATGATCAGCACCGGTGCAATTATTAAACAAGTCTTCGATCTTTGAAATGCTTCTTCATAATTATCATTCCATTCAAATTTAACTTCTTTTTGAGTTAATCTTGGTAATAATATAGCAATATAAGAAAATATCTGAATACATCTTTTGGGTTATACTGCAATGTCTGAAAAATTGCTTACTTTCATAATAATGATTTAACTTGGCCAAACTGGTATAGGTTGAATTATATTTTGATCCACAATTTGGCCTTTGTCATGATCACGTGTCCCATGAATGCAGCACTATTTTTCTTTTCATATTTAAGAAATTTTACATAAAGCTCATTCTCTTATACTATATCCAAAACTACATGTATATGATTGGTGTGCCTGGCTTCATCTCTTAAATAGAAAAGAATATTGTCGATAATACAATACAAAATATATTCATAAATGATTTTTTTTTTATTAAATCTACAAAAACCAATGTGGGATTTGCCAATCCAAAAAATATTACCACAAGTTTATGGTGGCCGTATATTGTTCTAAATATTATCTTGGCTATGTCATTCTCTTCGGTGTGTTACTGTTGATACCCATATTGTAAATCAAATTTTGAGTAGAGTGAAGCTCCATCAAGTTGATGAAATAATTCGTCAATCATTAGCAATGTACATTGATTTTTCTCTTAAGTTTTTTTTTTTTTTAATTCACTATAATTGATACACAATCTTAATTTTTCATCTTTCTACTTGGCAAAATGTGCTAGAGCTCATCATGCCAATGTAGTAAATCTAATAAAGCCTTTTTACAACCATTTTTGTTGTCGACTCCGTAACTCCTTAATTGTCATTTGATGTGGTGCTCTAACCACAGGCTTTGAGCTTGCTAATAAATCAATTATGAAATCTATATCTCTAGCTAGGGTGACCCAGAAAAATTCTCTAAAAGGATTTCTGGGTATTATATCTTTTAATTTTTTCACCACTTTTGTTAAATCATGATGATCATTATTCAGTAAGTTAAAATGTTTCAAATATGATATTATTGTTTTTGATAACGCACGATTTCCAATATTCTGAATTTTCTTTCAAAAAAACTGAACTCAAATCAGTTTCTAATTGTACATGATTATGAAATGGTTAGATATTCAGTCTATTAGTTAGCTTTTAAGTTTGAATAACGACAAAATTGGTTTGCTTCAAAACTTTTCTTATAAATGGCTAAATTTAATAGACATTTATTGCTAAATTTTTACATGTTCCATTCAGCATTATAAAAAGTAAGATAGTAAGCTTGAGTGAAGTGCTCGAAACAATGGATTTAACAAATTTCTCAAGGATTAATGGATGCATTAATCCAATGTGTAATAAACTTTAAGTAAATTCATTTTGAATAAAATTAATAACTGTGAAGACATTAATATATTTGTTGGCTTCTTACTAAGCTAGTGCATGTATCCACGATTAAACCTTTTCTTGTGATTGATTTTGTATTGGTGCTAAGATAGTTGATATTATCATCATTTGTTTACCAAGTTTTTTTTGTGCATTTGTTTTGTAGGATGTCAATTCTTTTGAAGTTTTTTGAGGTGTTAGGCAATACCTTATTATGTGTCTGTCGTCGTTATTTTTTGAAATCTTAATAAATTATTTTGTTAAAAGGGGCCTGATTTTTTTTGATGTAAATATGATTTTTGAAAGTATCATTTTAATTTAAAAAAAAAGATAAGACCAAACAAGTCTCACATATTAAATAGTTTGAAATGTTGAACGCGATACCACAAGTAATACACTATCCCGAAGGATAAGCATACCACTTAACAGTAGGCTCAACCACCTAAACTAAGAAGATTGTGACATCCGTTTGGTCTGCAAAAAACTTTTATGCATGACAGACAACAAATTCACTTACCTAATATAAGAACTAGATAAAATTTTCCAAGTTCCCTATTGAGCCAAACCCCTATAGTTAATTACATCTTAAATGATCGGGGTCACTTAAGAAGACTCTCGATTAAGATCAGTGGTTTTAACTTCCATATTTCAAAGTTTAGGCTTCCAAGATTGGACATTTGAAACTCAAATGGGAATGGTTCAAATAAGAACAGTTATTTTTAAGGAATCCTAAGGAATGAAGAGTAGGAGATATCACAGATCCAAGGGAAACCCTGGTGATTTCCCAACTATCATATTATTTGGCTTTACGTTTTTGAAATGATGTTATTCAATATTTAATCATGTAATTTCTTTTTAGAATTTAGGACTTACATTCACACGATATCTGATCGTGCAAATAACATAGAAAAATAGGAGAATTTACACCGTATCAGACGGTAACCTCGGAATTCTAAAAGTGTTAGGATTTATAATTGCACAACAAAGTTATGCAAAAGCCTAAAGATAAGACGAGGATTTACATTACGCTAACCAAACTACCTCGAAGTTCTATGACTTGTTATTTGTATTAAGGAAAATGTTCAGTGATGTGAATTCGTTTTGATGTTGTAGATCTATCTCGAAGTTGTTCCTCGTCGTGCTGCCCACGGTGTTCGCTACAAGCTCCTTGTCATCACACCTTCGAGTTTGATTATTGTCGAATTTTTTTTTTCTTTTTTACACTAAAGTATAGTGTGTATAAGAATAATAAAACATGCAATATAAAAGAGTGTGTATAAGAACAATAAAACATGCAATATAAAAGAGAAAGAACAGTGGAACAGTACAATATGCTTTAAAGTAAAATGCTGTAATATAAATCAAACCTGTATATCTGGGAGGTCTGCTGCTCCTTTAAACGAGCTAGTATACACTGTATAAACAAAAGAAACATTGCCTGGAAAACTCGAGAAATCGACAAATGACCCACGACGGAAAACTCAAGAAAATCGACAAATGACAATTCCAAGAAAATTATCAAAATCAAGGGAAAATCCTAGAAAAAGGACCACGAGTGCTTTGTCATCCAAACTCCAATAAAATATACAAAAAATCTGAAAAGAGAGGACAAGCACTCGGGTACCAAGCACTCGAGCTGAGGCTAGGCTCAGATACTATATATATTTGAAATCGAGGGATGCCAAAGGCTACTATCAGTCACCCGGATGTATAGAGCCCGCCACTCAACTAAAAGGGTGTCATATTGAACACCCGGTACTGGTAATCGACAAGTGGACAATCAAGTTGTAATACATTTAAAATTTGTATTTTAGCATGTACATGGATTTCAGAC